AAACGTCTGCTTTCCTGCTCCTGTGATGCTGCTTGGCCTGCTGTGTTCATCAAGCTCTACACCTTGTTATCTCACCATTACCTCATATGGCATGGGTTTGTGAGGGAGGAATTTGCAGGATTTAGATCCAGTGACAGAAATAGCAGCAATATCTCTCCAAGTCAGGCTGGCAAGTGAACTGGAGGTAAACTTGCAGATGGTGATGTTCCCATGTATCTGTTGTCCTTGTTCTGTAAGTTGATGGAGGTTGCAGGTTTGGAGGATGCTGACCTTAGTACGTCCCTTCCCGAAAAATATGTGTAATTTGTTTTCGAAGTGGAGAAGCAAATATATTGAGATTTGTTTCCTTGTATCTGCATGTGATTTCACTGAAGATTCTCGTCAGAGAGTGGAGTACTTAGTCAATAAGAGAATTGGAAAGATGAAATATTATCGCTATCACATGTTATGTTACAACCTTTCTCTCATCTGGAGAAGAAATGCATTATATCCTGAATTACAAAACCTATTACTCTGCTGAAATATAAACGTGCTCACTGCTGCCTGTTTCTCTGATCAGTTAGAGTTCACTGGCTTTGGTGAAGTCTCAGGTTATCCAGAGACTCAACCACCACTGGGGAGATGCAACAGTGATGCCATTGAAGTGGGTTCTGGGCCATGGGTTCAAATTCTACTGGTATCACTGGTAGAATTTAAATTCAACTAATAAATCTTGAATGTGGACACTATATAACTGGTATCATCAAGCAATATGCAAGATTATGGGGAAGAGGCACGAGAATGGCATAAAGACAAAATGCTCTAAGCTGATGCAGGTGCAATTAGTCAAATAGCCTCTTTTTGCACCATATCAATTGTGATTCTGTGGTAACCACCCATTTGATTCCCTAATGTAGGAGGGAATCAGCCACACTTGGTTGCGCCTGCATGTGATTCCAAACCCACAGCAATGTGGTTGCTGCTTAACTGTCCTTTGAAATGGTCTAGCAAGCCTCTCAGTACATGGGTATTAGTCAGCTGTGTAGCCCATCCACATTGCCAGCTTCACCCACATCCCATGAAAGACTTGAACAACCACATTTGTCAGCTTCCTTAGAATTGGAAAAGTAGGATTGTTTCCTAAAGCAGATAGAGAAAGAGAATCTGTCTTTCAACTGGACTCTGACATTACAAGGAATTATGCAGCATTGTGACCTCAGCAGCCACAGCAATCACAATTACCTGAATTTGACTGAGTCAGGTAAGTATAATACTGTGCTCTAGAACGGCAATCACACCACACAAGATTTGCTGGTAGTTATTGTGGTTAATACTCTCAATTTATATAGCCGTCCCATGTTGTAATATTAGTAATCTGTAGATAACTTTCTAAGATTTGATTCTTCATTAGTTTCTTAATATCATCTCTATCAATTTGGGGTAAATATTCAGACTGTTGCCAATAAGTTTAGTGTAATGAGAGAATCCCTAAACTGAAAAGTATTATGATTAAAATTGAATCTGTGATTTTAACTTTTTTTTTAATCATTCTAAATTTCAGACCATGTTGTGAAGAAATTGGAGAGCTGTGGATTTTTTGATGACAATGTTAAAAAGGACATCTTGTACCTCACAGTTCATGATGCTGTTGTTCACATACATACTCAGACTATGTATAAAGATATAGAAGATCCTATTTTTGACAAGGTGGGAGAAAATTGTATTCTGTTAGCTAATAGTTTTCTGGTCCTATTGATTGGAATCTTGTAGCAAATCCGTACAAGGTGTTGTGAATCACAAACTGTTTATTTGCAAATCCTGTTCAGGTCCTTTCTGTAGAGCAAACCAATCTCTTCATCCTCTCCTGCGATGTTGCAGCAGTTATTGTTGACTATTTTCACTTCATGAAGTAATATTCCTTTACTATTCAGTGGACAATTACTGAAATGAAGGCAATGAAGAGTTGAATTATGGGAGGAACGCAAATTGCATATCGAACTAGAATTTTGCTTTGTTTGTGTGTTTTTCTTGTTACGCTCTTTAGACTAGCTATTTTGGACCAAATCCTGCAAAGTGCAGACAGTCAGATGGGAGCACCTGGTTACAGAGAAAAAAGGAAACACAATGGAGACTATCCATTAGAACTGACAATTATAAGATTACCCCTATGATCTCCTGTAGAACAGTGAAAGGTGGAACATTTGTAAAGAAAGGAATGCAAACTGAAAGAAACAAAAGGGTACTATGTAATGGAAGTTTAATGAGCAACAAATTAAATCTTTGGGCTAAAATACAACAGCTTATGATTCAGCATTTTATGTACTAACTCAAGTGTGCCAAACCCTTATAAACAAAGAAACATAAGGATACTATCAGAAAAAAGCCAACAGTTTTGAAGAAGTTTCCTCGTACTATTTAGAATTCATTACTCATGACACTGATGAATTAACCAGGAGGCCTATCCAGAGCTTAGAAGCTTTCTCAACAAATGGAGAGAATTCTGATCCCCACCCAATTTCTTGCATTTGGCTGAAACAATTTACAAGAATATAGTAATGGCACTGGAAGGTACTTGATTATTGAGACAGCCTTACACTGTCTGTTGTCACTGAAATCCTCAAATGATGCTGTGCAAGCCTAAAGTATAACAGAACGTCTCAATAGTACTGTAGATGCAGATCTATCACTGAGTGCTGTCATTAATTGTAATCTGTAAGGCCTTGTTAGTTGCTAAACATTCGATCCATTATGCTTGAGGAAAATATCCTTGCTATGTTGAGTATAGTTTAGGACAAAAACAGAAAATACTAAATATTATGTTAAAAGTAGTCATCCCATTTCTGTCAGATATAATAAACCTTCTTTCTGCCATTGATTTCTGCATTTACTGCCTTTTTCTGCTTCGTAATTATACAATTTATTAATTTGATTATTTAGATATCACTCATGCAAGAATCCAAAGAACCAATTCCATTGTCAGATCAGGAAGATGATGTGGAAGAATTGGAAGATCAAAATCAGGTAAATGCTTGGTTTTAAAGTCAGTTGTTTATGGTAACCTTAAACTGAGTTCTCTCTCCATTCCCTGGAGCACAATTTCCTCTGGAATGATTAGCCTTTTCTCATACCTCGCTTTGCTGGCACCTAAGTTTCAAAGGTGAATGAATCAGTTTATTGAGAAAGTGCAAATGTAGTCACTTACTATACAGTACAGTCTTGGTCACATTGTGCACAATATACAGGAAATAATATTGCACTATGTAGTCAAAGCAGCCACTTGTATCTCAAAGCTACCTTTGTTACGTTGTAACTGTAACATTTATTGAACAAATGCATCATCATATCAGGACCTACAACAAAAATTTGAACTTTAAATATATGGGCCACAGATCATTTAAAGTGTAGTACAAATAAGACAACAAGCACACGCATGTACATGTGATAGTAAGTTCAATTGGAATTTTCAAAACTGAGATCAGTGTCCCTGGATTTTGGTTGGTTAAGTCTGTTGAGGAAAATGGAATAAAGATTGATCAATTGAGTTAAAGTACAGAACAGCTATCATCGAATAAAATAGCAGAACAAGGGTCTAAGTGATTCCTGGTGCTGTTGGGAAAATAAGCTAGATGCTGTTATCTGGATTATACATAATGCATTGTAATTCTAAATGTGAATGGGAGAGAAGGTATTAAGGGGGACAGTGAAAGGAAACTAAGAATAAGAGACAGCAGTTTGTGACGCAGAGGGAAAATTAAAATAGATTAAAAGACGATGAAAAGGAGAGAATGAGAGATTGGAAATGAGGGAAGGAAAAGTGAAGGAATGAGCCAAGAAGATCTTGCAGCATCTGTGGAGAAAGTAACAATGGCTCAGATATTCCGCTGGCAACACAGTTGTTAATACCCCCAGAAGGGAGTTGTGCATGGAGACTCTGCAAAATTGCCATCACAGCAGATTCCAAAAGAATTCCTGGGGAAATTTCAAGATTCTCATTTACAATTCCCCCTGCACATAGAAACCTTTGAAATGTTCCATTTTAACTCAGAATTTGGAGGTTTTTAATGAAATTTTAAGTAAAATAATTAATCAGCAAAAGGTTAGCCTGTTAAATACATAGTGTAACTCATATCAATTACACCTGCCCCAGATCCCTTTTACCAGTCCCCAAGACCCTGACTGAACCTCCACCTCTGGACCCAGCTCAAACATGTGGGTGCATCACCATCAGCGCCAGCACCCCTGACTGGACCCCACCTGACCTGGCCTGACCTCCTGCTGCTACACTGATCAGTCCCAATGCTGCCCATGTCCTCACCCTTCTGACTGGACCTGACCTAGCCCAAATCAATTAAGTAGACCCAACCTGATATTGCCGTTTCCTCCCCCCCCGCCGCTGCCACTGGACTTAAGCAACCACCAACCTGACCCACCTTGAATGCTGCATCACCTACCTTATCACCCTGCACCCTGGCACCCAACCCTTTCCTATATGGACTTCCACCCACCTGGCACCTTACATTGCCATGCTCCCCCTTAGCTGGCATCCTACCCCTGGCACATTATTCCCTCTCCAGCTGGCACTCCACCTCCTACCAATCTGGTGTCCTACCCCGGCACCCTGCCCCTCCCAGCTTGTACCACGCTTAGCTGGTACCCTGACACCCTAACATCACACTTGATTTTGAGTAACTTAACAGAACTTATAATTCGACTGCAGCTGTCAAAGTGGCAGGCAGTACCTTTTTTTTAAGTTTCAGAATGTGGCAGCCAAGTGCTATGAGAAGGGGATGTGGTTTGTCTTCCTCTTGACAGTTCTATGCCACATTAGACATGCAAAGCTCCTCTTTCTTTTAAAATAATGAGGTTCCTTTTTGAGGACACATGAGATTGCCACTCTTCAGAAAACCGGTCCCAGAGTTAATGTTTTGAGTCTGATATGATATTTTAATACAGAAGAGCTATTAAAAGAAAGGTGGGGTGGGGCAATCCTAACTGAAAGAAAAATCAAGGAAACATTAGAAGGTAAGGGAGATAGCAATCTCTGGTGTCTTAGAACAAAGGCCAAGGAAGTGGTAATTATGGTAGAGGTGTAACAGAGCACTTGTTCAGAAATAGGCGTTACTAACAGAAATAAAGGTCAACTTTGACTGAAAGGAAAAGTCAGATTTTGGTTTTAGTTTCCTTCAGTGGAAGGCAAGAGGAGGAGAGAGAGAGCAACAGAGAAACAAAAGCTTGGCAGTAAATTTTCAATAAAACAATTGGAGAAAATAAATGCCAAAAATCATTATTGTGCTAGCTTTCACAATCTGTAGCATGGTATATTGTTTATAAATGTAGCTGCAATGAGAATATTCGTAATACTCATTACTCTATTTTTAGAACTGTCAGGATAAATTGTGGTCACTTTCCAGTTTTATGTTCCTACCACAGAATGCACATTGGAATTTAAGTCGTGTGAAACTTAATTTTCTGACAATTTTAAGTGATTTGTACAGGTATGCTGTACATGACTGTCCATTTTATCTCTTGGCTGCAATGCTTCCTACTGGAGTGCACAGTCAGACAATTATGTCTAATATCCTTTTTCTGTTTCTTGAACTTGGAAAGGTTGGATTGACCTGATATACAGATCAAGCCCATTTATGCAAGGCAATTTGAATCCAATTAAACATTTGTTTTGCAAGAACTGAGTATTACAATAGCCAGTGTTTACATTGGCATTCACCCAGGACTAAACTCAATTCATGGGTGGTTGAAAGCAGGAGCAGTATCTTTGTTATCACTTGGCTGAAGTATAAGAAAAGCTATGCCTCATTTATTATCAGTTCCTAACCCTGATGGCAGTTTATGATGTTGAAGTCTATTGGTGACTTCTCTTCCTGCATTTTGTTTCCAAAATCCATCCTTTGAGCAGTGCTATGAATTTAAGTGCTGAAGAACCCCTTTCCATGATCATTCTGTGTTCTGAAAACCTTGCTGAGTTCTCTATTCCTGAAAACCTCTGTTTATAATGGTAACACGTAATATCCACATAGAGGTCCCTGATTAAATTCTTTCATCTGTGATTTTTGTTACCTGATCTCAGCAAAGGTGACAGGTCTTAACAATTGGCTAAGAGGAGGAAAATCATTCAGGATTCCATATCCTTGTGTCTGACTCTCAGTGTATGTAATTGGGCATTGGGTGAAGATACAGCCAGGTGTGATTGTCAACTGCATTGTTCTACCCATGAAGAATGGACAATCTAACCAGCTATAATGGGGCAAATGATGCTGAGGGAATGATAACCTGGGCATGATTGAACTGGTTTCCGAATAAGGTGGGAGACAGCTTTTGTCTTTCAAACACTTCAGGGTATCGAAGAATCCTTGCCAACCTGAGTGTCTGAAGTAGGATTTTAGTGTGCCTCAGCATCCGAGATCTGAAACCCCAACAACCATTATTGAACAATAAACTGAGTCAAGGTTTCTGTTTCATCAGCTTATCCAATGCTACCTGGAGAATAGTGCAAATGTTGATTTTCAAGCTTTTGTGAGGTCCTCCGCAGCCTATTATCAATCACTGTCTAAGATGGCATTTGATGAACAGCTACCTTGAGAAGTGTCAAACTGTCTCTGAAAGAAATAAAATTGGTAAACTCTCTAAATTCTTAAGAGAGTTTATAATTAATGCACTGATTATCTTTAGCAAAAGCAGAGTTTTGTAGTTTAATAGACTAGACATCCTTGCTTTTTAATGTTATCAACCTGAAATCATTGACTAACTAGCTACATTGATTGCTACAATGACAATTCAGATGTATTAACTTTATTGGAAAATCCCTTCTACACAATTAAATGTACCTAATATGTGAGTTTAGTTAAACATCTACCATTATTTCGAAACAGGTTTGCTTTCTGCAAAGCTTGGAGTTCTGGTAAGAATTTGTCCAACATGTGTGTATGAATGCAGGTTCTAAACTTCCTTTTCAACAGTTACAAGTGATACATTGACTTCCTCAGTAATGTACCATGAATGTTCACTTGTACAGCAAGATCTGAACAACCTGTGTTCTCAACTTATGGAGTTTCGAGTTGCTTGCCTTACTCCATGAAATGCTTAGTTTAAATTAGTTCTATTGGTTGACCTTCCTCTTGCTGACCTACAGCAGTTATTTCAGTTGGTGAAGCTGCTGTTGAAGTCTGTTGTTTACACTCCTTTTCTGTGCTAGTTTAGCAGAACCAATAAGCAGTAACCAAGGAAACAGAGCACACATAGTGGTCAAAAATAACATTCGTGTAAATTATTCTCTTAGCATCTTATCGAAATATGCAAAAGGATGAAAGTACTCAGGCTTATGCAGTGTCCATGTGACTGCAAATCATATACCCTGTGCTATGTCCCTTCCTAAAAAAGAAACCTAGAATCCCAATTAGCTACATTATGCCTGGTGGCTTAAATATGAGACTGTTCTAGAAATCAGTTTGTAGTCATTAACAGTTGTTGTAAATTGCATCTAAAATTCTGAATGTTTCACCTTCTATCAAATTGTAATGTTAGACTTTTCTTCTGGCTGTTGCATTTCAAATTACTGTCCTGAGATAAGAGTTATAATGCTCTATTCTAAATATTTCTTCACAGGGCCACCGTGGATTCAGCTATTAAAGAACACACATCCAGATGTCTCAAAACCATGCAAATACCCTGGCCATCCATACCTAGTTATTATTTAACACAAAGATTCAGTGCTGTTTTCAATTATATGCAGCTATTACGCAGTTCGAACATGAGTGATTTTTAGTAAAATCTATTTAGTCCTCAGAATTTAGTTTTATGTACATCATGTATGGAAAAAAATTACTTTTTCCTATAATGGTAACTATAATTTTTTTTATTTTCTGGTTGTTAGCTGTTCACTGTTTCTTGATTATACTGGACATCATTTGCATGGGTACTAGAGGCATGATATTAACCAGCAAGAAATTATGCTACACTGTAGAGTAACCTAAAGAAAGCTGCTGTCATTGTCGTACAGGTCTAATTGGTGTGTAACGGCAATCACAAATTGCCAGTATCCAGTTTCCTTCTGACTGCGTAATTCCTTCATTTTTTAAAAACATTTTCAACATAAAACACTGCAAAAGTAGTCCAACACTGTTTCACATTTCCTATAATATCATGGGGGCTTGCTATCATTATTACAGTATCCGTAGTAGCAGACCCTTTTAGGCCACACTATCAAGATATCAAAATCAACCTCTCCAGGAGCCCTGAATCGACAAGAACCAACATTACCCTTCATTGTGATATCTAACCAATGAATTCTCACTAGGCATAGAACTCTACTTTCTAAAAGCTTTGTCCTGTCTGTGTTATTAGTTTAGTTTATATACACTAAGAAATGTTCCAAGCCCTGCAGGTCTGATTTGGCCCACCAGCATGATCCTGCCTCCAAATGTCGAATGATAGGTCTGACAGGCACTAGCTGCAGTGTTTAAATGGTGGGGTCAATTAAATACCACTGGGGAGCAAATCAGTGATACTGTCAGGATCTTCCTAACAGCAGACAGGCTGCCAGCTGGGGTCAAAGTCCTGGTCAGTGAATAGAGATGGCCTCCTGACGAGGGTGGGGGAGTGTCGGTGTGGTTTCCTTTAATTTCCCCTCTCCAGGTTCAAGAGGAGCATGCCTGTCCTGTTGAAAAGGCTACCCTTGATGATGATGATGATGGCCTGAAAGATATGGCCTCACTTACTGTTTTGCACATTATTTTCAATTCTTCAGACCTCCGTTTCCTATGTGCATTGGTAGCACTCACTTATCTCAGTGGGCCTGCCGACCAGAAATCACTGCAGATCCTCTGCTTAGGTTTGTGGTTTCTCTGGTCACCCTGCTGTCCATAATTAGATGGAGCTTCTTCATTGACCATCTGCAGGAAGGTTGCAACTGTTCCCATTATGATTTCCAGGTTCCTGACCGAGGGGAGTCCCAGCGACCTCTATACATTCCAAACACAAGATTTTGATTTTATACAAAGAATTCCAAGTCCAAATGCTTTTCTGCACAGTAGGTTGAGTGAATTGTTCACAATTTGGACCCTTTTTTTACATATCAGAACTGAATTCAAAGCACAGCATTGAACATTGCCGGGTAAGGAGAAATTGAATTATTGAATTGTAAAAATTTTTATATAATTTGATAAATTCTGATTCTTTGAATTTTCAAAATATACTTTTTTAATCCTTACGGGGTTAATTTGATTGTTAGTGGTATTTTTAGTTGCCGTCAGTCTTTCTTAAATAATATTTTAATCATACAGTAGGAAAAAATGCAATAAATATCAAGGAAATATTTTGGAAACAATTGTTAATTTGGGAGTTTTTGTTACTATCAAATGATAATTTTTGTCTGCAGTAGTGATGGTGAGATTTCTTTGGAAAGCATTAATGTTGTAACTGGTTAAGTGGGATCTGTTTTTGTTTGGTTTTTATTTCTGGTTTACCCACAAAATAGAATACCAGGTGTCTGAAATTTTAGAAGCATTGAGATCGAACTGAACACTATATTCTTAACTGAATTCTAAGATAAGTTTTATAGTCTAATTATGGAGCGTAAGCCACCTAATTGGGTGCTATCTTTCCAAGAAAGCTTTGTAAAAACAAAAAAAAAATTCTTGCTGGTATAAGTAAATAAAATTGCAAGACAGCTGCTGAGAACTGTATCTCTTTTTTGTGTAATTTGGAACTTGACAACAATATAATCCAATCTAAACATGAAAACCAATATGCATTTGTAACAAGTTATGGCTAGTTTTATATTTGATTTATTGTTCATGAGCTCCTTAGCTCAAAACATTTAAAAGATAAGAATGTGGCATTTCAATCATAATTTGAACGGGTTCAGTCAATCTGTGGTATTATCAACAGGTATGTTGATGCATAGAAAACAACCGGTTTCAAACCTGTGTTAAGATGTGATTTACAACATTATATACAATTCTGAGCGCACCAACTTCCAAATGACATTGGAGATCCTTCAAAGAGCATAATTTAGCCTCATTCTAGGGCTTACAGTCATAAAATCTAATGAGAATTTTGAGCTGAATTTATTTTCATTCAAGATAAGAAAATTGCAAGCATAAATAACTTGAAGTCTTGATATGATGATTGACAGAGAATGTGACTAGAAGTAGGACTGTTAGAAAATTGACGATTGAAGTAACACAAAGTTAATAAATCTTGAATAAAACTAGAGATTAGAGCATTTTCTTTGAATAGTGAATGGACTAAACTCCAGTAAAAGCTGTTTGTGCTCTGTTTATTAACTAACTTAAGATATTCATGTTCACTGGAAAACAATGGTTCATGTATTGATAAAAGCACATCTTGGTTGCCTTTTGGAGAAACAAGATGTGGGCTTTAAAATATGGATTAATATTCCACAGATATTGTTTGAATCCCATTTTGTGCTTGAGACAATTAAGAGTGTTAATCACTTGGAAGTTTCTCTGGTGATTAGTTGGTTGGGTAAGTCCCATGTTGGAATATGTTGTACATTGTGAGATTAACAGCTGAAAATCATTTGCTACCTTGTTTTCTGTGTTAAGAATTTTGGAAAGTGGTTGTATGACTTCTTCACATTTTTAATGTAACTGAAATAAAAGGACAAGCTGGATAAGTTCATTCCTTCCAGAAGCTCTGATTTTTGGTCAGCTCTGATTTGTGTTGTATTTACTGTCAAAGATTATTTTTAAAATGTTCTAATGAAAGAAAATTGGATTTTTGAATTATGTGTAATTGATATTTTCGTTGTTTCAATAATAAAGTGAACTTGTGAATCTTTAATTCTACAAATTTTAAACATTCAAACAATTTTTCAGATAAATCAAAGATAATGAGTTATATAATATACTATACATTAGGATCCAGATCAAGTTTCATGATCTGCTGTTACTGAAATTTTCTTCATAAAATGATTCCAAATAATTTCATATTTGATAGAATGCATAAATTGATAATTTCTAGAAATAGTAGTTGATTAGTACTCATTTATAAATCAGTCTGCTTGCTTAGTAGCATTAACAGGTTTAAAAACAACTGATTAATACCAATGTTAAAATAGTGGACAGGATAATATTTTAGGTGTTGGACATTGTTCTGCAATATTTTAATTTCTAGACATCTACAGTTGGGAGCTACAAAATCCACAGCACTAACAGGTTGTTTTTATTGTTCTTGTTCTCCGATGTGAATACTTATGATGTTTCGCGAGTGAAATGTCTTGAATTTAATCTGCTAGTGGGAACATTTCAGTGCCTTGCTCATCAGACATGTGAGATGACACCTCACTACTGCCAAGTATTATTTTCTTTTTAGTTAATATGAATTCCAAAGCATGCGAATTCCAATGCGTCTGTTGTGCTGGCGAATCTTATGGGGTGTCTGTTGGTAAAGGCATTGGCTTATGTGGGTGATAGACTGCCACTGAAACTATGCAGAGTACCAAAACATGGCCTTAAATGACTTGTAGCCATCAGTACAGTTTTGGTGCTCTACACGTCAGCTAATCTTGCACTTTTTCAGGAGAAATAAAACCCCACCAGTGCTATACAAAGGAATAATTAACTACATACGGCTGTTGACATTCAATGAAATAAAACTTGATGTAGCATTGGAGGACAACCTCGGAGCTCTGGGTTTTGAGGATTTCATTGAAACAAATAGAAATTGCTGGAAAAGGTCAGCAGGTCTGGCAGCATCTGTGGAGAGAATCAGAATAAACGTTTCAGCTCAAGTGACCTTTCCTCAGAACCGATGGTAGCTAGCAAAATGTCGGTTTATATGCAGCAGATAGGGAGGGGGTAAAGGGTAAATGATAGGTGCGGCTACAGCTCAAAGAGAGAGAAGAGCAGTTGGACAGACAACTGGGGACTCTGCAGCCTTCCAGACTCTGTATCAAGTTCAATAACTTCAGGACCTGAGCTCTTCCCTGTCTTTATGCCTACCCCCACAATCAGAGATAGCAGGAACTGCAGGTGCTGGAGAATCTGAGATAATAAGGTGTAGAGCTGGATGAACACAGCAGGCCAAGCAGCATCATAGGAGCAGGAAGGCTGACGTTTTGGGCCTAGACCCTTCTTCAGAAATCAGACCTTGTTATCACATTGTCTGCTACTACATACCACCCACTATTAGCCACTAATAGTCTCATTAACAGCTATTCACACTTCTAGCCAGATTGTTATGCACTCCTTTGTCCAACTGCTCTCCTGTCTCTTGGGGCTTAATTCCCATCAATCATTTACTCCTTACCCCTTCCCCTGCAACCTATCTTCTGCATGTAATTGACATTTTCCCAGCTACCATCTGTTCTGAGGAAGGGTCAGTGGGCCTGAAACGGTGACTCTGTCTCCTTAGATGCTACCAGACCGTCTGAGCTTTTCCAGCAATTTCTATTTGTATCTCTGATTTACAGCATCCACTGTTCTTTCGGTTTTTATTGACGATTTCACTGTTGATTTCATCTCCACAAGTGTGATAGCAGTCTGTACTGGTTGACTGTCAGCAAGAAGGGCACCAAAAGAGTGGCAAAGGTGGGTGAGTAAATGCACTGGCAAACTGTGTAATCAGGATAGGGGTAAACTGATAGCTCAACCACCATTAATGGAATAATTAAAATCAAAGGCACTCGAAGAATCCGGAATTAGATGAACATGGATATTGTCAGAGGGTTATGGGACTGGAGGGGCTTTCAGTGAGTGGGAGGAGAAAAGACATACAGGGTTTCAGAAGCAGGTAGAAAATTTTAAAAATCAAGGTGTTTGTCTGGAAACCAATGTATGTCATCAAGCTCATGGGTGTTAGGGGATCCAGGACTTAGTCTAAGCAAAGACGAGGGCAACAGCTTTTTGGATGAACTTAATTTTATGAAGGAAAGAATGTTGAAGACCAGCCAAGAATGCATGGGAATAGTTAACACCAGAAATAATGAAGTCAAGTATGCATTCAGATGAGCTGAGACAGAATAAAGTCAGGGGATGTTATGAAAATGGAAATACATAATCTGAGTGATGGTATGAATATACGTGCAGAAATTCCCCATAGGATCAAATATGACAAGTTTGCGAACAAACTGGTTTTGTTTTGACTATTGCCATTGATATGGATGGATTTTGCGGCTAAGGAACGTAATTTGGAGTGAGAGCTAAGATAATGGCTTCAGTCTTTCCAATGTTTATGAGCATTAAATTTCTACTCATCCAGTGTTGAATGTTTTGAAGAGAAGTCTAATGACATTAACAGTGGATGAGAAGGGAGAGGTCGTTCTAAGGGAGTGTTGGGTGATAGCAACATAAATGCTATGCTTTAGTCACAGGTCTCAGAAAGGGGCAGTATGTATATCAGAAATAGGAAGGGGCTAAGGATGGATTCTTAGGGAACAATGGAGGTAATTGTAGCACAGCAGGAAGAAAAACCGCTGCAAATGATGGTCTGGAAAGATAGATGAGAATTGAATCTGTGTTTAGCAGCTAGCAAGATGACAATGGCAAAGCACTGGAGGAGGATTCTGAGCGGCGCAGACAGGGGACTGCCATTTTTGGTGCCGGGGCTGGAGAGTTCCTGGTCTTAAGAGGTGAGGTGACCTGATGACCCTCAACATAAGCCAGTGGACAGAGTTAATTTGAACCATCTCCTAATAAGGGAAATTGACAGGTGGACTAGGCATTTCAGTGCCTGCGGTCATTTTACATGACACCTCTCCATCCTCCTGATCACTTTGAAAGTATACGAGTGGAGGAAGTGTGAAATACAGCCTATATTTATTGAGTGGAGGAAGTGTGAAATACAGCCCATGTTTATTGAGTGGAGGAAGTGTGAAATACAGCCCAAATTTATTGAGAAAGCAGCTGAGTCGCGTATCACTTAAATGTGATTTATAGCTGGCAGAGTTGCTCTCCTGCTATTATGTGAGAACACACTGCTGATGTATTTAAGTTACTTTGGGTTGTCCACACTGTTGTTCATAGTAGTTTTGTGGCTTCATTGATGTTTGGTATGACCCCACTTATAGCCAGGGTGCTGAGCAAAGTCATGGAAGAGAATGGGGGTGAGGTGCGCAGTGGAATGATGGGGTCTGGAATGCAAAATTCCAGTAAAATGGCAGCAGAGTGGGACACTCCAACTGAGGCTCCTCTGCTCTGTCCATTCTTTTTTAATTTTTCTTTTCTCCCTCTCTCCTCTCTCCTCCCTTCTCTTGGCCTGGCACACCCAGCCCTTGCCTCTGAAGGGGTCGGAGATTGTGGAGATGCCTGTGGCCTGGTGCAGGGATGCCAGTGACCAGCGGCCCAGTGTGGAGTGTGGTGGCAGCCAGCAGTCAGACCACATGGAAGTCCCCTGCACTGGTCTGCTGTGGAGAACCTTTGGAGAGAGACTGTGATGTTTGTCTTTATAACTTTGCTTCTTGTTTTTCTGACCTATGGTTGTATAACTGTAATGTAACTACCCTTTCTTCACTTCTCTATTCTATAACTAAGGATTGTACCTTTGTACCTAAGATGGCGCTGTAAGTGGCAACTTATAAACTTTTCAGTGCATTCATTTGAGTATATGTAACAATAAAGTTAATTCATTCATTCATTCAAAAGGCAAAAGAGAGAACATAAATCATGTTAATTTTAATATACTTTAAAGGACTTTAATACTGTTTGGGGATGGGGTGCCACTGTTAGTCTGAGGTGATGTTTTACATTCTGAATATAATCAACAGTTCGTACACTGAATTTGTGTGAGTAACTTTTGTCTAATCCACGTGTGTCTATAAAGCACATGATTCCTTCATGGTTTCCAGCCAGGCTGTTTTTTTTCCAAAAACAAAATTATTCTTGGTGTTTGGGCAGCACTGCTAAGGCCAGGATTTATTGTCCATCATTGAATGTACTTGGTTGTAAGACTTTTTCACAGTACAGTCAGGTATCCTTTATCTGAAAGCTCCGGGACTGGCTGTTTATTTCAGATAAAGCATATTTTTGGTTTTCAGATACACTCCCACCAAGTCAGGAGTGTCTCGATTTTTTTTTCAAACCTGTTTCTACCTACGACTGAAAAGCTGTTTCAGTTTTCCTGCTTCAGTTGCAAATCACATCCTGGTTTAAACTGCTATCAATCCCATTAAAGTGATAGGACTTGCTTAATTGCTCTAGGCCCTCCAATAGTCAGACAGAAATTGAGGAGCAAATATGTAGAGAGATCTCAGATTAATGTAAGAATAATTGAGTTGTGACAGTAGAGGAATTTAATTGTCCACATATTGACTGGGACTGCCATTGTGTTCAAGGCTTGAATGGAGAAGAATTTGTTAAATGTGTTTGAAGAAAATTTTCTTTATCATTATTTAAATTAACCTGCTAGAGAAGGAGCAAAACTTGACCTTCCCTTTGTAAATAAGGCTGGGCAAGTGACTGGGGTGTTAGTAGGGGAACACATTGGGACTGGTGATCATTACTATTTCAAAAATAATAGAATTATGGAAGCAGATAAGCCTTGCATAAAAGTTAATGTTCTTAATTGGAATGAGGCAAATTTTGATGGTATGAGGTAAGAACTTTCAAAGTTGATTGGAGTAAGCTGTTCGCAGGTAAAGGGGCGACTGATAAGTGGAATGCTTTCAAAAGTGTCATAACGAG